TCTATCGCGGTGCGCTAAAAGCCGTGGCTTGGAGGGCTGCTAGCTGGCGGGTTAACTCTGACACCACAGTCGGTCCAGCGTGTCTTGTTGTGTGCTGTGGCTGTCTGTGGGCTGAGAGTCAGATTCAATGGCTCCTTCTTAATGTGGCCTTTACGGCGCTCCCTGTCGAGAGCATACCTAGCGAGACGTGCTGATTGGTACGCGTGTTGAATGTTTGTCGCGCCAGCCGTCTGCGCCCTACCGCATTTCTGGTCTTCTTGACTCTGTTTTGACACCGGTTCCCGGTGCGGGTGTGGTCAGAGAGTGGGGTAGATCCGGCGGGTTTGCCTTCACTGTACTTCCGCCACCGTCATCGTGTGCTTCAACTCGTTGAAGCTCGTAATGGATATCGTCAAAATTGGTGGTCGAACTATCGTATGTTCCATGAGTTTTGAAACTGATAGTGTCCATAATACTACAAGATGGACGTCTACTGATTAGACTGCGTGAAGTGTTCGTCTCGCTGCCCGATGCAGAACCCTCACGGGCTACTAAGGAAATATTACTAACACAGCAGGATATACTGAAAATAATTGAGGTCCATGGTCCAACGGGATGAGAATTTTCACTAACTCACTTGATTAATGGCCTTACCTCGGCACTGAAGATCTCTGATGTCGACAAAAATTGCATAGGGCTCGTGGTTCAATGGTATTGCATCGGATTTAGCACTTACTGATCAAATAATCCGGGTTCGAATCCTAGCTGTCCTAAACCTGGAATTGGGAATGTCTGGCCTAGGACGATTAGCAAGCTAGAGGCGACCATTCCAACTTCCCCTATCGTTGTCGATATTCCGTTCAGTGCTCATGATGAATATTCTATTTGTCGTGAAACCAATGCTACTTTAATTACTTTACCTAATTCGCTCATTTTATGCGTAACGTAAAGCAGACCAACTTTTCAAATTACATGCCAGGAGCTGCTATGTGCAGATCTCCTTTTTAGGGAAAGCAACTTAAGCAGTGCTCGAAAGGTTTAACTCCCGAGCTTGCTTTGACTGTCTTTATCTAGCTGACGTTAACGCTCTTCGACCTTCGACTAGCAGTAGAATAAGATGCCATACCGAAACCATAAATTATATAGAAATTTAAAAAAAATACACTGTCTAAGATTGATTTTAAACTTACCGAGAGCCTCTTCACCTGACTAGAACGAACCATAGGACAGTATGCAAGTTTTTTATTCAACAAACTGTCAAAGCTTGCAACCACATTTGGAACGTGAATTAACTCTCTTGCAACATCATGCAGTACGACAGTTACTTTTTGCGTTTGGAATTTGGAGAACCCTTTCCTTTGGACTTTGGAGATCCCTTACCTTTGCCTTTGCCCTTCCCTTTCGACTTGCCCTTTGGTGATTTATCCTCTGGTTCTACCGGCGCTTGGCCTTTTCTTCTGAACCTGGCCATCCAACTCTCTGGCAAGATTATTTCCTCGGGGTAGGGTTCGGTCAGATTACTAATCCTCCTTGCGAAAACAGGATTGTCCCCTGTTGGTGTTGGTGGCCGGGGAAGTCCTTCCCGAGGCATCAGGGGATCCAGTACCTCACGATCGTATTTGAGGTCTTCTAGGACACAGTATGTATCATCGTACCATCGCAACTCAGTTTGATCCATTATTAGGTGAGTTTTATTGTTCCATCGGTCCACAACACAAGCACATCCATTTTTAGAAAGACTGAAGTGCCCCGGTCTAATGGGCTGATAGGCATCGATCTTCCAAGAACCCATATAGCAGGTTGACCCGTGCTCCAATGAAGGTAGCCATGGACCGGCCGGCCTGTGTCTTACATTGTACACATGAAAGAAGCCAGCCTTAGAATCCGACACCACCAGCATGCCCAGTGAATCCACCTGCACTCCGAACGGTTCACCGAATGAAAATCGGTCAAGTCCCAGGTCACTGTAGATCACCAAATGAATCGTATCAACCCTTCCTAGGACCTTGCTGTCATGTATTTTTAAGACCTGAATTCGAGGCGGTCGAGTCGCCGCAACATAAAGGTAGTCGTCGTACATTGCACAACCCCCAGAGCTGGCTAGAAGAATGCATGTGTTTTCATCGGGGTAGGCATTCTCGAGCATGACATCGTAGGGCGCCAACGTCACCGGGTTGTATATTTTAATGCGCTGAAGCGGTTGAAATAGGACAACCAGGTAATTTAGATCAGCACACATTCCAATCGGAGTTGACTCATCAAGTAATGTGTACCTTCGCGGTTCGGGCTCTTTGCTATCCGGTAGAGTGGACGTTGGAATTTCGGCCGGATCAAGAGCTGCATACTTAAACTCTATCCTCTTCTCCTCTTTTAGTTCAATTGGGTCGTAAAGGACCAGTGCGGTGGTAAGGGCTTTTGAACCGGTCAATAGAGCTGCAATTCTTCCGGTCCGAGGAATCTCAAGGATCATTCGCGGTTCACCTTTCGTGATCACAGGTTGAGGAATTCGCGTGATTTTGGCACTCACAGGGTCAAGGGTGTATCGTTGTATTCTGCGCTGTTGAGGCTCTGATATCCAAATGTCCCCCCAGCTCGTGATTGTTGGACAATAGGGCGACCAAAACCACTCCTTGTACTCAAAGTGCAGGCGATTTGCATGGGGATACCAAACTTGGCGCCGAATTTTCCATAAACAGTGCGATTTCGGCGGATCTGGTGGTGGAGGCGGAGGTTGGGGCCTCACCCATACGTAGGGCTCCTCTACGGCTGGACTGCCCTTTTTGTTTTTGGGAGACTTACTCTTGTCGGATTTTGGTGACTTACCCGATTTGGGCGATTTGCCCTTTTTTGGTGGCATATTGGCCAGGCGCAGAAGCAGGTGGCGTCCCCCTCGTGGTCTGGAAACGGGAATGCGTCTTGTTCACCAGCTGACAGCTCCCCTGGATCAATAAAACGTGACGCACCAGATTAAAGTGTCACGTGAACACTGTCTGCATGTGTTCGTCTAACAAATGAGTAAGGGCCGTATAGAAGTACCACTACGAAATCCATGTTTCCTGGCCCCAACGCCTAAGAGACAAAACGAAGTCTAGAAATCGTCTTTTACATTAAGTCAAGTATGTCTAGAGTTTATGTGCTCTATGGATGCGAAGGCTAGTGATTTGTCAGTTCAACCAGTAGATGGAGTGATTTGAGATACAGAACATGTAACCATTCCTAACTAACTAAACTGAGCCAAACAAATAACAACACCATCGCACGTTCTTGTGATAACTCCAGCCGTCCCGATGGTGTGGGAGTGTTCTGAGAGAAGAAACGCCATGTACATGTGTACATGATGTTTGATCCTCAGAGCGGGACCTAACACCCGACTTTCAACTGTGGCTATCAGTAGCTGTGGTCCGGCCAGCCGCCACACTCCCGTACCCACTTCAACCAACGACAGTGACCAGCTGAGGATGTTCAGTGTGCGTGCCGGAATACTTCCTGTCCTCAAACAAAACCACCATATGGAGTGCACCATAGTCATCCCAGAGGTAGCTCAACTATACTTGGAGTCTCCTCATTAAATGGAAGTCATGGCCCACCGTGGAATTTTGCAACTGTCTGGGGTGAATCGGTAACCCTACTGTGGGGTAGAGTCGCTTACTTCATCGCGGAGAAGGGGCTAGGGAAAGTTAATAAACTAATTCCC